TTTCTACAAAGGCATTGGATATGGGAATGCTGCAAACATATTGCACTAGCTTCAACAAATTTGGTGCTACCTCTTTCTTGAAAAAGGTACTACACCACATATCTACCGTTTACTGTAAACTGTAACACTTGCATATAGGTAGTGGATTTTGAGATAAGCTATGAGTCATACCAACGCAGTTTACGGAACTATCAAGCGAAGCGGACTTTTTCAGTTTTCACTCTACGAATCCAGTGCATTGTTGCCTGTTAGAATTGCGCAACAAATTCAGCGGCGAAATAAATTCGTTTTCCGCGCGCTGTTGCCGCTGTTACCGTTTTTAGGCAAACATTTTTTCCCAAATTGCAGGATATTTTATGAATTCAACAAAAAACTGGACATTTGCTTGTCCGATTTACCAAACTTTTTTCAACCGGACAGGCATCAAAAAACTGAACTGTCCGGTCGAAAACCGGACATCTGGCAAACCTATCTCCGAAAGTATTAAAAAATAAGTAGAGACCTAGAATATCCCAGAATGTCAAGTATTAACTAGAAGGCCATGCTTTCACATTTAAACATAAAATTTAATTCCAAGCAACTTTTCCCTATTACTTTTTTACGTAGCGTTAAGATTTAAGGTACTTTACTCTTTACTGTTTTTACCTTTTCCAAATTTTTGAACACCCTGTACATTAAATTGAACAAATGACTATCTTGCCAAGGGCTTCTGAACAAGCAAAAATTTTTATGAAGAATGATTTTTTTTGACAATTGAAATTTTGTATCCATTTCAGGTATAGGCAACCCGAATTGAGGACACCCTGTATATTTGTTTTAATAAAACATAATAAATGTTGAATCTATTTAAAGTTTTAGATTTTTTAGGCTTAAGCAATTATCACAAAACATTAAGAGGTCTGTTCGGAAAATAAGCGAACTTTTTTAATTAGGCTCTAATGGAGATATTTACTGATATACGGTTGGTAGCACTGCATTGCGCATAACCTCGTCTGAAACAACATGTTCTTAGATTGTTATCTCATTTAGTTTTCGTGATATTGTTATTCGAATGCAACATGTTTAAGTGTTAGTGACAATTTTTGAAATATGTGATTTTCTGGAACAACGATAAAGTTTCGCGTGGAGCCGAGGAAAATTGTTATGGAAACGTTTCAACTTTTGAAACAAGCTTACGGAGATAATGTCCTGGGTCGTACGCAATGAAACCAATGGTTTTCATGATTTAAAAGTGGTCGTCAGTTGTTCCTCGATTGATGGCCGAACAACAGAAAGAAAATCGTGTGGACGTTTGTCGGTAACTCCTTGAAAAATTCAATGACGATGAAACATTCATTCAAAGGATCATAACTGGAGACAAAAGCGGGGTTTACGTCTACGACATTGAGATAAAAGTTCAATCATCACAATGGATTGGCAATTCCAGGTTCCAAGTTCCAAGCTTTAAGTGAAAGGGTAGAAATGGAAAGAAGCAGCGAGATATTTTCTACAACTTACATACATTCTTTGAGTACAGTGCGCTGCTAGAGGAATCTGCTGTAACTCAATTTCTCGGGGTCGAGGATCCGATAGTGACTACTATCGTGAGAAAAACCAGTGGAGAGGATAGAAGATGACAATACCCTATTAAAAAATTTGTTTTTGTTCGTCTCTTGAAAAATTATATTTTAAGTACCTAAAATTGGAAACAGACGAATTTTGCTGACGGGCATGAAATTTGAGTGAAATCGAAAAGGTCTCGTGTAACTAGCTATTAAGGCTTTGATGTTCATTTTTCAAAAAAATTTAATGTTTTTAGACAATAAAGATGATTATTTAAGACATTGTGATATGTACATTAATTGACATGTATTCATTTGTATTATTACTAGGTACTACATGTTAAAATTGTTAAATATGAAGTAGTCACATTAATACGGTAAATTTTCGGCCTTTTTACGATTTTCTTTCTCTTATTTATTATTCTCAGTAATTATAACTCATTAGAATTTTAAAGGTCATCTCTCGTATCTAAAAAGCATTTATTTACATCTGAAAACGAATATGACACTCTTTGATGTGTTATTCCTGGTAATAGGTAATTGTTGGCATTATATATTTTCCAATTTTCTAATGAAAACTTTAACTCCTCATATTACAAACTCAAAACTTACATTTTTTTCCAAGAGACAAAACCAATTCAACATTTTTTTTATCATAATACTTACGAAAAGTAAGTTCATTTGTTTTTTCACTGTATAAATACGAGTCGTCATCGTCTATTGACAATGACGACTCGTTTTTGCTATTGCAAAAAATGTGTGGCAAGTTACTTTTTACAATATTTTGAAAAACCATTGTCAACTTCATCTCATTACTGACATCGTTATCATTATCTTCAAGCTAGCTTGAGTCAGAAGGAGTCAGAATTAATCTATAGTTCATTATAACCCGTTTGCTACAATTTTAAGTTAACGACTACTGAGTAATATCACAAATACATACTATCTAAATGGGGTATTTGCTATCTTTTCAGATATTAACAGAAAATGAAATAATATACCAAAAAAACTGGCGCTATTTTTTTTATTTTTGGATCAACTGTCAATTTAAAAAAGTATAAAACTAAAATGAATTTGGCGGACAGCTGTGATATGCTCAACCATGCCTTACTTAATACGCCATTCTATTGATAAAGAATAGGGAGTTCAACTAAAATCTCATACTACTGTCCTCATCATATACCTCTTAGACTGACTTTATCTATACCAATGCACGGGTACCAGTGAATGCAAATTGCGGGGAAGTGGAGTGTGCGAGGTAATCTGACCGCGCATACTTTGAACAGGTCCGGATTAAGCAATATTTTACACCTATGACAAATATTCATTTTTCAAGTTTTTAATGTCTTGCTTATATTAAATACACTTACAAAATAATTTCAATATTTATTGTCCTTTAAGTAATGTTAGTTTATTTAATATTTGTCTTTTCGTAGATTTTACTGAAATAAATATATTGACTTCATGATTTATTCTCACATCAATATACTTTTCATATACAGTCCTTACAAGTTCTATTAAATGATTACAATTGTAAAACAAAATTCTCAAATTTATGTTCATGCAAATTTTCAAATATGTTCACATTCAAAAAGTTTTTTAATACATGATACACAAGTTGTTTTAGTTATTAAAAAAAATTATTATTTTTTCTGTTTCCTAATTTGTCATTTTTCTTTTTTAAACGACGTTTATTTTCTGCGGGTTATCTTTTGTTTATTGGAAATAAAGGAAAACCGCCTAACTTCATATTTTAGTTTCATTTTTCTTGGGGTATCATCATTAAAATGTTTATATAATCTTTTTATTATCTGTGATATTCAAAGTTGACATCGAAGATGTACTATTTAGGTCAGAATGATATGATGACTACGACGTGGTAGGTTAGCTGGGACTATTCATGTTCATAAAAGAGTAT